AAAGGGGCAGGGAGGAGACCAGGGAGGGAGTGTGGGGTTGGGGAGGGAATGAGGGAGCGGGATACAGCTGGGACACAGAGTTAACAAAATGTAACTAAAAAGAAAAATAAAATAAAAAAAAAAAAAAGAAGGGGAGTTAGTATGATATGGAAAGGATAGGAGCTCTACAAGGACCAAATATATCCGGGCACAGGGTCTTTTCTGAGACTGACACTCAACCAAGGACCATCTATGGATATAACCTAGAACTTCTGCTCGGATGTGGCCCGTGGTAGCTCAGTAACCAAGTAGTTTTCCAAAGTAAGGGGAACAAGGACTATTTTTGCTCAAGTACACACAAGGACATTTGTTCAACCATGTTTGTAGCAGCTTTATTTGTAATAGCCAGAACTTGGAAACAACCCAGATGTCCATCAACAGAGCAATGGATACAGAAATTGTGGTATTTTTACACAATGGAATACTACTCAGCAATCAAAAAGGAGGAAATCATGAAATTTGCAGGCAAGTGGTGGGATCTAGAAAAGATCATTCTGAGTTAAGTATCCCAGAAGGAGAAAGACAAACATGGTATATACTCACTTATATAGACTTAGATATCTTTTAAGGATCCTGCAGCCTAAAATGAGCATTCTATAGAAGGAAGGATCCTTCCATTTTAGCTGTTGATTTCCTCTAACTATCAGCCCCCAGAGACTGGTATTCTTTGAGTGCTCTATCAGCTACCTGCTGATGATTACTTACTTTCTTTCCTCTCTTCTTCCCTTATGGATACTATCTACTACCCTTACAGCACAGCTCCTGGAAAGCCTATGAACAATCTTCTTCCAGCTGCAGTGGCTTGGAATGTTCAACACAATTTTCAAGCACTATTAGTATTTTAAACACTATTTTCATGGTTTAAGAGGTTCTCAATGCCGTAAAGATGCCAAGAGCTTTCAGACTGGATGACTTTTAGACTCAGTCTTTTTTTTTTCCATGCTTAATTGGGGTTTAGCTGTGGATAAGGAGTCAGATTTTCAGCATCTCCCTTTTGCACAATTCTCGTGCTTTAAAGAGGGGGAAATTAACCCTTGAACACTACCTAGAATTTAGAGGACTACAAATTGGCTTCATTTCACTTAACTAGCTCTTGAGAGATCTCTGCTTTTAGTAGGGAAAGCATTTCTGGGCCTCCGCAGCCCCATGACTGTCATCATTTTCAGTGTCCCTTGTCCTCAGAAGAGTAGAGTTGACCATAGAAATTGACTAATTGTGATAGCTAATTTTGGTTTTCAAGTAAACAGGATCTAGAGTCACCTAGAAGACAAGCCTCTGGGTGTGCCTGTGAAAAATTATCTATAATTAATGATGTCCAAAGACCTGCCTACTGTGGGTGATAGCATTCTATGGACTGGGGTCCTGGACTGAATAAAAAGGAGAAAGTGAGATGAGCATGCACATTCATCATTCCCTGCTTCCTGACTGTGGATGTTACATGGCCAGCTGCCACATGCTCTTGCTGCCATGATAGACTGTATCTCCTAGAACTTGAAGCCAAAATAACTCTTTCCTCCCTTAAGTTGCTTTTATTGGGTATTTCATCACAGCAATAGGAAAACTAACTAATATACTGATGGGTCAAAGAATATTAGAAACAATGATGCTCTTGGCTAGTTTTTTTTTTTTTTTTTTCCGGTAGGGGAAAGGAACAGGGAAATAAGAAACCTAAGGATTTAGTAACCTAGAACGTCTGAGAGTCTTAAGACTGAAAATAGAGAAGCTGCTTCATGAGAGGAATCAGATGTCAGGAAAGTTACAGGTATATACCAGCCCTGGGGGAATCCAATAAAAGTATAATAGGAGTCCTACCCTTAAGATTCTATAATAATTTAGTTGGAACACAAAAATAAATACACTTGAAATAATTCATAATTTGAAACTAAAATGTGGTGCTGACAAAAACAACAAAACAAAACAAACAAACAAATAAAAACCTGCCAGAGAAAGGATAGTTCCATGGATTGACAACCTTTGTGAGCTGAGTGGGTGAATAAGACTGCATATTCAGCCAAAAGACTTTGTGCCCCAGCCATAATGTCTGCACCATTTAGAGAAGAGTCTGACTGAGTCCTGCCTGGCTTCGTGGAGGAAGTAGGGGGGAGGAAGCTTAATCATCACCACCTGTTGATCAGCACCGTCATTGATGGCCACACTAAATATTCATTAGGCATCTTTCTTATGTTCACACTTCTATTGGGAAGGCAGAGCAAGAAGAGTTGAAGGACTCATATAAGAAAGTATGTGGCTTATAAAAATAGGATAAGTAAAGGAAAATGGAAAATGAGGGCGGACAGGGGAAGTTAGAAATGGCTTGCCTGGGTTAGAGGTGACCTTTGAAAGAAGATTAGAGCTTTATTAGTGGAGAAAGAAATGGAGTGAGCTGTAAATGCCATCAACAAGGCACGGAAGGTGAGGTGAGCAGGATGAATATAGCTAAGTGAGCAAACCTGTTGGACTGGTGCAAAAGCTGTGCAGCATCCTAGCGTGGGTGACTAAAATTATAGAGAAACAGTAGTGATTACAGATAGCCTTGGATGTCAGACAGAACAACCAGTCATTTGCAAACAGAATAGGAAGTCTGTAGAGCTGTGCTTTGGGGGAGTGGTAAAATCATGGGGCATAAGGCAGAAAGACTGAAAGAACACTGCAGTTTTATCCTACAATCTTTATATCTTTATAGTTTGCTTTTCTGTGTTTGGATGACTAATTCACCCTGTCCTACCATAATGGGTAAGTTGGTCACCCTGCCTGAAACCTGCCTTGTAAGCTGCTTGCTAAAGCGATGATGCACACCTTTAATCCTAGCACTTGGAAAGCAGAGGCAGATATATGTCTGTGAGTCCCAGGCCAGCCTGGTCTACATAGTGAGACCTTGTTTCAAAAAACCACAACAAACAGAAAAAATAGCAAACTTAAACTAATAAAAATAAACAAAAAGGAAAACAGTTCAAAGAGATTATGTACTATTTACCATTGCTAGAGCACCCATTTTCCAATTAAACATTCTAAGCCATCAGCATTTTAAAGTTGTTCTTAATAGTATCACCTCCTTAAAGAGGCCACAAAAGAGGAAGTTGCAGCCTCTAAGCCAGCTGCTAGACCAGGGGCAGCTGTGCTGCAGACTACAACCTTTCCAAGTGATATCTGTCCTCCAGTCAGCCCTTGGGAAAGGATGTGACAATCGAGAGAATTTAGACACACACACACACACACACACACACACACACACACACACACACACACACACCGTGAACGACAAAGATTAAGTCTATCTTGAGGCCATCCTTTTGGTGGCTGCTTTCTGGTCACTCCTCCCACTGCTTCCTTTTGCTGGCTTCTGGTGGTAGGAGATTGGCACTGGGTCTGCTACATTTATATTACCTGGAGGCAGATGTTTTCTTTTTTTTTTTTTCTTTGGGGTTTAGGATTATGCAAACAAAGCATGAAAACAAAAGCTCAGTGAGGTGGGGGAGGATTGCCCTTAAAAATCCAGGCAATTTTTAGAGCTCTTTAAGATGTCTCTCTCCTGGTTTTACTAACAGCTCACTTGGCTCTTTATCAGTCTGTTTAGAATTTAGCACCTCTTCAGAGCCTTTTAACCAAAGACCTAAAAGTTTATTCTAAAGCTTCTGTCCTGACTTCATTTTGTAAGAGCAGAAATTAAGGCATATATGTGCTTTCAGTGTCTGTGGGCTGGCTTTGAGTTTTAATCTCTCTCTGTTTCAGTAGTCCCTTTGCTGCATATGGTCTTACCTGGACTGGAAACTATGACCCAATTCCCTCTTAGGCTCCTGCTTTTCTGATGTTATCTGGAGGGCAATAGGACCTGGGGAGGTTCAGCCCTGTGGCCAAGAGAGACACACCTGCCTAACCGAGTAGGTTGAATGAGTGTGGGAGCCAGTCCCTTTAGCTAGCTGCTGAAGGGAGGAGTAGAAGTGGGTGTCTGCTGCTGCTCCCAGAGAAGAAGAAAGCTGTAGCTGGCTCCCTCCTGGATCCAGAAGTCATGGTGAGAAACGCTGCTCAGGCTCCTTTTTTTGTTGCTCCTTGCTACGTGGAGCATCCTTTGGCTATTCGCCTTGGAACTCTGGCTCATTTTGTTTTGCCCCATCTGTCTCTCCCACACCCACAGCTAATGTCAGCACCACCCGCCCAAGTCATCCAGGTGCCATAGGTCCCAAAGCCCTGGACCAGCTGCAGTTTTCAAACTGTTTATTGCCTTTGGTAATAAACTGTCTCTGTGAAGACACCTCTCCAGCCTCTTCTATCGTGCACTGCGCATTCCGCTTCTTTCCGAGGAGATGTCGCTTGGGGACTGTGGTGGCATTACTCTGGCCCCCAGCTAGGGCTGTCTTAGGGGCGGGGCTTGGAGAACCTTCCTGAGCACACTTGCCTCCCAGCCAGTCTTGAGAGAGTGCTGGTGAGCCAGCGAGCAGGTGAGCTAATAGGCACAACTTAGCAGCAGGTTGGATGTATACCTAGGTGCTGAACCTGACTGTGCTTCCTCTTCTACCTTGGCTCAGTTCTCTGCTGACTTGAGAGGCCATACTGATGAGAATTGCTGAGGAGAAGCTGCTGAGTATTTGATGTGCCACCCCAAAGTGGCTACTACGTTGCCTGAGGACTATGAAAGGAGGCTGGGTGGAAACAGTTGTTCCTTGCCTTTTCACACACCTGGACCTGGACACCAGACTCCGTGCTGGGATGCTTTTCCAAGTTTCTCATCAAATATGTGATTGCATTCTAGGGACAATCGAGAGTGAAGTTCAAAGAGATACAACTGGACTCTCCATTGCAGACTCTCAAGTCTAGAAGAGAGTTGTCTCCTGTTCTGACTTGTTGGTCTTCTTTCGGGAACTTGACTTGACACTGTCCACCTGATTGATCCTTGGACAACAGTGGCTATTGGGGCTCTGTTGGCGATGGACAGTGAAGAGTTCTGAACTCCAGACCATAAAAGATTCTCCACAATGGATGGAGTGTATGAAATTCCTGAGGAGCCAAATATGGTTCCTATTTCATCTCTGGAAGAAGATGTCATCCGTGGACTTAACCCACACTTTACCTTTCCATTTAGTATCCTCTTCTCCACCTTTTTGTACTGTGGTGAAGCTGCATCTGCCTTGTATATGGTTAGAATTTACCGAAAGAATAATGAAACCTTCTGGATGACATATACCTTTTCCTTCTTCATGTTTTCATCCATTATGGTTCAGTTGACCCTCATTTTTGTCCACAGAGACCTGGCCAAAGATAGACCATTATCATTATTTATGCATCTAATCCTCTTGGGACCTGTTATCAGGTGAGCATTATTAAATCTCTCCCCAACCCCTTCAAATGTGTACATCGGGGGATGAAGCTAATATTTACATGACTGATACTGTGCTTCTAATCTAAATAATTCTTAAATTGCTTCTCACTCTGTTTCCCTGCCTACTGTCCCAAAACCTTATCTGAAATCTTGGGTGCAACAATAATGGCTTTTTGACATGTATATGTGTTCAAAAACCATGAGCACTAGAACCATAAGACTCGATTAGAGAGTTCTTACTGAGTTTATGTTATGAAAACTGGTATGGGACCAGCAAGTGTATCTACCTTGTGCTCTTGGGCTATATCTACCGAATGCTTTTTCACTTTATTTGGATTGAAACCCAAGTGGTGGGCATGCTAAATAAGTGCTGTTCCACTGAGCTATAGTCCTAGCCTCCAGAGTCTGTAATTTGAACTGTTATTTAATTGTCCTATGAAAGAAAACATTCATTCTTGCCTTCATTCTGTCCTGCATTCAGTTTTCACATTTCGGACTTCTTGGGATGTTTTGTTTATTTGTCTGTGTTTTTTGTTGTTGTTTTGGTTTGGTTTGGATTTTGGTATGGCCATTTTCAAAATTTCTAGATATATTTGACATCTGAAGAGTGCTTTATGTAATAGGTGGTAGTAAGCTGGTACTACAACCCAATAATATTTCTTGCTTATTTCTTCTTATGTTGCTACAATAAATATATGCAGATTGGCAGGAACAAAATAAGGTGGTATACCTCTGTCCGGATTTAGTAGCAAAGGGTGGTAGTATCAGGTATTTCCATTCAGATTGCTGTGAGCAGGGTGAGAACATGCTTAATTGTAGGGAGACAGGCATCTGTGCCCACAGAATCATCTGAATGCTATGGGGTTTGACAGTAGAGAAACATTGTGTAACTTATGAGGTCAGGAGAGAGGAATGGTTTGTCTTGACTGCAAGAGAGACAAACATCCACAGTCAGCTGAGGAATATCTGTCACCATGTTGATGCAACATGAAGATAGCTCATCATTAGAGATCTAAAACAGTCTGTGAAACTTCATAAGAATGGGACCCCATTAATAAAATTTATTATCTGCGAATATGTATTTCTATTTGTCAATGATAGTTCCATAAATATGGAAAATGATTATCAATTCTGTTTTAAACAAGGAAGAACTAGTTAGGTTGCTTCACGGAAAATATGGGCTATCTTTGCAAAGCAGTGGCCTGAATTAGGAGCTCTAGAGCTTAGTCCTCCCTTTATTACTCACTAATTGAATGGGCTCAGTGAAGATGCCATCTGTCTCAGTTCCCTCATCTGTAAAATATATGGTTTGGCTAGATCTGTGTTCCAAGTCCAGGTGCTCACAGGGGTTATGTGTACTATAAATGAACGAAGTAGGCCAAGTATTAGGAAATAGTCTCACATGTGATGATAAATGGAAACAACATCTCAGTGCTAAAGAAATGGAATACCATGGCAAATTGGAATCTGGGACGTGCCTGTCTGCGAGGCAGCCACTTTAAAACTCTAACTCATTGTTTCTGTGTAGGGATTCAGACTTGGTATTGCCAGATCTAAGTTTTGAGAAGTTAGTTTCCAAAACAGGGTTTTATGTGGTAGTTCATGATTTTAAATTTGAGAATTTACTAAAAGCAAAGTCTACAGTATGAGCCATATTATATACCTAATGTGCATACGTGACTCAGCTTTCCATATGTAACTTTTGGATTGGTTGATCTAAAGGTACTTTCCTATTCAAAGTTTTTGAAGTTATCTGTACACTGAAGACTTTAATTTGAATCATGGAATTTTAAGATGTTACTACAGACTCACAAAAACCATTTTTTGGTCCCTTTCAAAATGCAACATAACAAATTAGCAGTTGAAGAAGATTAAAGTACCCAGCCCTAAGTTTTTACTTTCTTTTTGTTGTTTGTTTGTGGCTTTCCAAGTTGATTTTGACTTTGCTCTATGTAGAGAGTTGTTCACTGTTTTCAAATTTGTCATTTCGCTTGTACTGCACATGGTTTGACTGAGAAGCATTTATAAGCCTCAGTTACTCTAAGCCCACAGAGGAAGAATAATTGTTTTTATTGAAAATTTTTATATATTTTTGAGATTTTTTTATGTATACTTTGTGTGTATATATATATATGTATATAATTTCAACTTCTCTCCCCTTCAACTCCTTCTGTGTCCCTCCCCATTTCTTTTCAAATTCATGATTTTTTGCCTCTAATTATTATTTTTATATATTTTATATATTATATAAATATATAATGTATATTTATGTATATATAATGTACATATATATAATGTATATATGTATATAGATATGTAATGTATATTTATATAATATATAAATACTTGTTGAGTCCATTTAGTGTTGCTCATATGTATATGTGTTTAATGTGGACCCTTAGCAACTATTAATTGCCTGTAGTTCTTCAGAAAAATGATTATAAACTTAGAAATGATACTACTTGTACAGTTGTTTTCAAGGCCATTCTTGTTTTCATTAGGTAAGAGTTTTATTTCTGCTATCAGGCAAATGAAGCTGTTTTTAGGGCATGTTCTCTTACATGAAATGCAACATGCTTCTGGAAATGGCTTACTATAGCTCAAGAGTAAGGCATCCCATATTTACTTAAACTCACAAACAGCCTTAGGAATGGAATCATAAACAAAATACTTCATGCCACTGGCACAATATTTCGTTAAACAATAGTATGGATGGGCTTGAAAATGTACATAGACATTTTATCCAAAATAGCAAATGTGTTGTAATTACTTCCTTCTTTCCTTCCTTTTTCTCACCCAGGTCTTACTGTTTGTCTATAGAAAGTAGAAATTTCAAGGCTGGGATGATGACTCAGTGGATAAAGCATACATGAAGATTTGATTTTAGGTCCCCAGAACCAATGTACATCTGGATCATTATTCCCAGTACTCCTACAGAGAGATAGGAGGCAGAGATAAGAGAATCTCAGAACTTGTGGGCCAGATATCCTGGTGTACAGAAAGAGAACTATCTCAAAAAAAGGTGGAAGGCAAGGACCAACACCCAAGGTCATCCTTTGATCTCTGTATACATAAACTGTGGCATATGTATGGCTCCCTACACACAAATAGACACATATGCACACACACATGAAAGTGGAAATTTCTTGTGTTCATATTGGAGCAGTACACATGAAAAAATATTCCTGGGGAATCTGTGGAAAATGGCAGCCAGTACTTACATTCATTCTAAATCTTTCTATTAACAGTCAAAAGCCTAGAAAGCACATCAGTCCTGAACTTGTCTTTAATCTGTTTTCCTATTAAATCATTCTCTGTTCTGACCTTCTGCATTTCTCACCTGCTTTCTCTTTTTTCATTCTCATTCTTTCATTTTGCTCAGCAAATGTTTATCAAGTTTCCACCATGTGAGAAAAGCTGGAAGCAAGATAAATAGAGCTTCTGTCCTCAATCTATTGGAAACGATTTCTAAATTTCTGCTACAGATAATCTTGTCAAAAATAGTTAGGTTTCCATTCTTTTCAGAGTAAGTGGGGGAAGCAGTAACTCAGGTGTAACAAAAACAGCATGCTCTAGTGCTTTTTTCTTATGTTTACTGCATGAGAACTGCCAAAGACTTTTGATTTTGATGGGGGAGGTGTCAGAGGGTCACAGCAGGAAATAGACTCTCAGCAAGATGTCAAGGGTAATAGGCTCTGGTAAGCTTGTTTTCTTCATAAAGAAAGAATCAGGTTTAAAAGGAATCTGTCCCAAACAAGAGACACATACAATAAAGAGATGTTTTCTTTAAAAAGCAGAACTTAAGAACCTCAATTATGAAGCTGAATGTATTTATTAAAGAATATTTGAATTTAGAAATTTAAGTTTTGAAAACCAGAGCCTTTCAGAGCCCTCATCTTTCTCTCTGAACATAGTACTTTTTAATACTTTTGTATTTGAGGCACATTTAAAAAAAATTCAGACATATTTTGGAGGAGATAAAATGATTCCTTGACTACAAAGAAGTATTTCTGAAATGGTGTTCTTAGGCAAGTGGGTGACCAAAGAGGGAAAAAAATTAGCCCTAATTGACTTGTACAAGGTATGGCCAACCCTTTTATTCATGTGCAATGGGCAGAAGAAAGGAAATGCCAAAAAAAGTGATACAACCTCCCCCAGATTTTTTCCTTTATGACGCCTTCTTTTCTTGGGACAATTTTAGCTAAGTTTCCATCATGCTTTACTCCCACAGGTGTTTGGAGGCCATGATTAAGTACCTTACACTGTGGAAGAAAGAGGGGCAGGAAGAGCCTTATGTCAGCCTTACTCGAAAGAAGATGCTAATAGATGGCCAGGAGGTGCTAATAGAATGGGAGGTGGGCCACTCCATCCGGACCCTGGCTATGCACCGTAATGCCTACAAACGTATGTCACAGATTCAAGCCTTCCTGGGCTCAGTGCCCCAGTTGACCTATCAGCTATATGTGACTCTGATCTCTGCAGATGTCCCCCTGAGTAGAGGTGAGTGGGGTCAAGAGAAGGGAGGGTTCTTAAACCAAGAGTCTTAGAAGTCTTGGCCTGAACTGTCCAATATACTGTTTACTCATGTGAAATTTAAAGAAAAAGAAAAAAAACCTACATTAAAAGCATACTTCTTCAGTAGTGATGTCTACATTTCAAATGCCCAGTAGCTACATCTGGTTAGTAACTTATTATCTTGGGATGGCATAGATCTAGAATGCTTTCATCATCATAAAATAGTTCTTTTGGACAGCACTAGAACTTAGGGAGGAAAAGAGCTCAGACCCACCAGAATTCTTAAACTGTCAATATTCATTCAGAAAGGCAAACAGGATAGATATCAGAAGAAGGTGAAAACAAGGAACAAGATAGGAGCCTACCACAGCGGGCCTCTGAAAGACTCTACCCAGAAGAGTATTAAAGCAGATGCTGAGATTCATAGCCAAACTTTGGGCAGAGTGCAGGGAATCTTATGAAAGAAGGGAGAGATAGAAAGACCGAGAGGGGATAGGAGCTCCACAAGGAGAACAAAAGAACCAAAAAAATCTGGGCCCAGGAGTCTTTTCTGAGACTGATACTCCAACCAAGGATCATTCATGGAAATAACCTAGAACCCCTGCACAGAGGTAGCCCATGGCAGCTCAGTCTCCAAGTGAGTTCCCTACTAAGGGGAATAGGGGCTTTGTCTGACATGAACTCAGTGGCTGCCTCTTTGATCACCTACCCCTGAGGGGGGGAGCAGTATTACCAGACCACAGAGGAAGACTATGAATGACAGTCCTGATATCTGAAAAACTAGGGTCAGATGGAAGGGGAGGAGGTCCTCCACTATTAGTGGACTGAGGAAGGAGCATGGGAGGAGTTGAGGGAGGGAGAGAAGGAAGAAGGGATTAGGAGAGGATGAGGGTGGGGCTACAGCTGGGATACAAAGTGAATAAACTGTAATAAATAAAAATTATATTAAAAAATTTCACAAACACACTTTCTGGCCACAGTATCAATAAGAAGAAAAAAATGGAGATTTTCCCTTGTCACTAGTGTGTACACTGTGTTGCTAGTTGCTTAATTTGTTTACAGATGGCCACCTTTAGAGAAAAGGTTCTCAAATATTTCTGCATATCACAATCATGTGGGAATGTTCTTTGTCTCTCTCTCTCTTTTTGTTTGTTTGTTTTTGTGATGTTGTCACTCTTTGTATTCCAGGCTGGCCTAGATCTCACTGTATAGCCCAGGATGACAATCCTCCTCATGGCAATCCTCCTGCTGAGCTTCCCAAGTGCTGGGACTATAGACAAGATCTGGCATGCCTGGTTTGGAAGGTTCTCCTTAAAATTTACCTTCCATTCTCAGACCTGAATCAATCACAGAGTGTGGGGAGGCCAGTAATCTGTATTTTTAAAAAGTGCCCCTGTTGATCTTAGCTAGTTTCATTAAAGAATCACAGATGTAATCATTTCCTCCAGTGGTAGTAGAGAGACAGAAAAGGGCTGTGGGATGAATAAGAGTCATCAGGCCTGGTCTAGGTCTGATCTTCTTGATGATCTCTGAGGAAGTTACAAAGAAGCCCCTGCCATATGTTTCTGCTTGTAAAAAGATGGGTCCCTAAATGAGTAAGACTTCTAGCAGAAGATTCAATGTGAGTCAGTATTGTCAGTGTCAAGATCAAATATTGTTAATGAGTTTTACCAGCCTGAGTTTGTTTCATCTGTTTTACGCAAATGCACATTCAGATGTGGGTAAACTTTGGACCATTTTTTTTTTTTATTAGTAAGTCCTGACCTTGTTTGACAAAGTCCTCTGACTCAAATAAATGCAAGGGGCCACCTCTATCCCCTTTGCTCCATTAACAATTGTTTCTGAAGTTCCATTGGTTTGGAAGCTTTATACAAGTGTACACTTGACAGTAGTTTGACAACATTGTCTGGAAATGTTGCTTTTCTTCCTGAGAATTTTGAGAGTGGGAAAATCATCTAATTAAAATATATGTACATTACAAAAGTGACAATGTGCAAACTGATTGACCTACAGGTAACTGTGTCCTTGAGAGCTATTAATTTATTATTATTAAACTATTATTAATTATTTTAATTAATTTAGTAATCAGTATCATTTGACATAAAGGAAGACTAGGAAAGGGTCACCTATATCATCTACAAGTGGGGATTAGTTATAGTGGATAAGGAATATATCTGGCCTTCCTCTCATATACATTAATATGGATGCCATGGGCCAAAAATTAAATAGGGTTTAAAATATTTTGAACCACACTGTTGTAAGTTCAGAAATTCCGTAAATATCAAATTGTGAGGGTGATGAGTTGTTGTTATCAATGACAAAATCAAGTAACCATATAGTATCTCAGAGACTTGGGAAACTGAGGCCTAAAGATATTCAGTGTCTTCCACAAGCTCTGTGAAGGATTCTACAGGACTACTTGAATGATTTTGAATCCCAAGCATCTATTTTGCTTCTGTAAATCAAAATATGTTCATTATTCCACAAACCTTTATGAAACACATACTTTATTTCAGACAGTTTATGTTATCTTGTAAGGATAAAAAAAATAGATATGGTCCCTTTTGCCTTCATGAGATTTCTACTACATTTTGGCACATACAACTGGAATGAATCATAGAAGACTAGTTTCTTGAAGAAGATACACAACAAAGATTAGACTTCAACTGGAAAAAGCAGTTTCTAGGCATAGTGGCCCAGCACTTGCAAAGCAGAGGCAGATTTCTGTGAGTACAGATTGATCTACATCACAAGTTCCAGGCCAGCTAGAGCCACAACACAGTGAGATACTGCTTAATAAAGAAGAAGCAGAGGAGGAGGAGGAGGAACAGAAGGAAGGAACATATATGCCTCCAAAGATTAGTAGTTGTTGTTTTTCAGATAATTCATTTTTCCTTTCTCACTTACTGTTCTCCCAGAATACTGTTTATTCAGTTAGGCCTGCCCTATACCTTTACATATGTCCTTCCTATGTCAGTGACTTCTTCTCAGTATTATTTATAAGACTTAATCATTTCGAAAAGTTTGTTTTGTATATTTCTATGATTAAACTCTTGCATTGTATGTTCATCCAAAATTTCTAAATTAGAAACTTAGAAAACAGAAAAACATCACCCAATGTTTGCCTGTGAGTCTCGCCATCAGTTTTGAGGTGCTACTGGGTAGCACCTCTCAGAGGACAACTCCATCAAGCTCCTATCTGTAAGTTTAGCAGAGCATCTTTCATAGTGTCAAAGGGTTGGCACTCTCCTATAGTGTGGGTCTTTGGTTGGGGCAGGCATTGGTTAGGCATTCTCTGCTCTACCTTTATCCCTGCATATCTTGTAGGCAGGGTAAATTTTGGGTCATAGTTTTTGTGGGTGGGTTGGTGTTCCCCTTTCTCTGCTAGGAGACCGGTCTAGTTAGAGTATGTCCTCTTCAGTCTCTGTAGCCTCTGCTACTTGGAGTCTCTGCTTAAGTACCCCTCATATCCTCCCTCAGGAACCTACCCTGAGTTAGGTCTCCAGCTTGTCACATTGATGTCCCACCCTCAGTTTCTCTTTTCTCTATAGTCCTTCTGTTCTCTTGCCATTGGTCTCTCCAGTTCTGTTCTCCACCCTCTTAACACTCTGTGACCCCTCTCCTACCTTGTTCCCTCTCTCTTTAGCCACTGCTTCTCTCTATTCTATCTCCCCTTCTGAGTGAGATTTATGCATCCTCCCTTGGATCTTCTATGTTTCATATCTTCTTTGAGTCTGTGCCTACTATGCTTATCCTATACTATATGGAAAAAATCCACTTACAAGTAAGTCCATACCTTGTGTGTCTTTCTGGGCCTGGGTTAATTCACTTGGGATAATCTTTTCTAGTTCCATCCATTTGCCTGAAAATTTCATGATTTCCTTGGTTTTAATAATTGAGTAATATTCCATTGTCTAAATGTGCCACAGTTTCTTTATCCATTCTTCAGTTGAGGGACATCTAGGTTGTTTCCAGATTCTGTCTGTTATGAATAAAGCTGCTATGAACATAGGTGAACAAGTGTTCTCAATGTGTGGTGGAGCACCTTTTGGGTACATTCCCAGGAGAGGTATAGCTGGGTCTTTCTTTCATATTGTTGAAAAGTGGGAGGAAAGAGAAAGGGACCTGGAGGTGACAGGAGCTCCACAAGAAGACCAACAGAGCCAAATAACCAGGGCCTAGAGGGGCTTGCTGAGGCTGAAGCATCAACCAAGGACCATGCATGAACTGGACCTAGACCCCCCCTACAAAACTGTAGCAGATGTGCAGCTTAAACTTCATGTGGGTCCTCTAGTAAGGGAAGAGGGGCTTCATCAGACACAGGCTCACTTACTAGCTTTCTCCTGCCCATAGGACTGCCTTGCCAAGCCACAAGGAAAAAGGACATGCTCAGTCCTGATGCAACTTGATGAGCTGGACTGGATGGGAAAGGGGGAGTTAAGAAGGGAGGATAGGACTGGGAGGGGAGTAGGGATGGGGCTGCAACAACAAGAGTATAAAGTGAATATATTTTTTTAATTTAAAAAGAAAACAAAAGCATACAGGAATAGTTTTATTATTTTTATTTGCTTATTTATATGATGTTGGAGCTTGAATCTGTGGCTTTCTTCATGATCAGCCAGAGCTCTGCTACTGAGTTCAAACACCATCAACATTAAAGAAGATATTTTGGGTTTATTTATTACATTTTTCTTCCTGTGTGTGATATTTTGTTTTACTGTATATATTTCAGGTCTACACTGGGAAGTTTTGATACTTCCTATAATTACTATTTGTGTGTGAACTCTTTCAGTCCAAGTAAAATATAATGCCAAGCTGTACATTAGGGTTTCCAAATGTAATCATTTTGTGACAGAAAGTTTGTTCCCTTTGGCAAAAATTCTCCTGTTTTCCCCCTACCCCCGAAAACGATTGCCTTCCTCTGTTTCCTTAAATCCGTCTATTTATGAGATTTTACTTATAAATGGGGTAATACATTATTATTTCTTAGTCTAGCTCAGTTCACTTAGCATAAAGTCTTTGATAATCATCCATTTTGTTGCAGCAATATAATTTCCTTCATATTATTGTTGGGTAATATCCCATTGCATATTTATGCCATTTTTTTTTTACCCATGCACCCACCAATAGACATTTTGATTGTTTCCATATAATAGCTGTTCTGTGTCTTGCTGCAATGAACAACATAGCAGGGAAAACATTTCTTTGAGGTACTGATTTCCTTCCCTTTGCATATGGAATTGCTGGATCATATGTTAGTTCTGTTTTTATGTTTTTTAGTTATATTCATGCTGTTTATCACAATGGCAATATCAATCTACATTCTAACTATGTATAAAAGTTTCATTTTATCCATACTGTTTTCAGATTTAAAAAAATTGTGTTCAGCTTAATAGTTATTAGGTAGCATCTTATTGTGGTCATTCTTTGTATGCTAGGCAAGGACATGCCCACTGACCTCTACTACCAGCTCTTACTGTGATTTTCATTTTCATTTCTCTAATGGTCTGTGATATTGAATATCTTTTTCTATATCTGCTAGACATTTATATGTCCTTGTAAAATGTTTATTCAGGTCCATGCTATTTGTATACGTAGCTATGATTATATGTAAGTCTGCTTTTAATTAAAGAATGCCTCAAGCCCTGTCCATCAGCTCTGAACCTCTGGTTCTGAATACAGGCTTTACCACAAACATCGACTGATTGCTTCTCTGTCTTATTCCTTATTTTGCAGTTGTGCTAATGGTTTTTTCCCTGATATCTGTCACCTATGGGGCTACCCTCTGTAATATGTTGGCTATCCAGATCAAGTACGATGACTACAAGATTCGCCTTGGGCCACTGGAAGTCCTTTGCATCACCATCTGGAGGACTTTGGAGATTACTTCCCGCCTTGTGATTTTGGTGCTCTTCTCTGCCACCTTAAAGTTGAAGGCTGTGCCCTTCTTAGTGCTCAACTTCTTGATCATCCTTTTTGAGCCCTGGGTTAAATTTTGGAGGAGTGGTGCCCAAATGCCAAACAATATTGAGAAAAATTTCAGCCGAGTTGGCACTCTGGTGGTATTGATTTCTGTCACCATCCTCTATGCTGGTATCAACTTCTCTTGCTGGTCAGCCATGCAGTTGAAGTTAGCAGACAGAGACCTTGTTGACAAAGGTCAGAATTGGGGACATATGGGACTGCACTACAGTGTGAGGCTGGTAGAGAATGTGATAATGGTCTTGGTTTTTAAGTTCTTTGGAGTCAAAGTGTTACTGAATTACTGCCATTCTTTAATTGCTGTGCAGCTTATTATTGCTTATCTGATTTCCATTGGATTCATGCTCCTTTTCTTCCAATACTTGCATCCATTACGCTCACTCTTCACTCATAATATAGTAGACTACCTCCATTGTATCTGCTGCCGCAGACAACATCGGGAAAGGGTTGAGAACTCAGAGCCACGTGGTGAGACTGACACAAGACAAAGTATTGTCTGATTATTTTTATTCTTCTGAACATTATAGCATGGGTTTGGGCTTGACAGGAGCAAGTGCGAAATTGAAAGAGAGGGTGAGACTCCTGTATGTGAGTACTCACAGGCCTGTTTTCTTGACTCATCTAGTAAGCCTAACAAAAGAAAAAGTAACTTCCAAATAGGCTTTACTGTTTATGATTGACTGGTAGGTTTGGATACCAGCACTAGTCATTGTTTATTTAGTTTGTTCTCCTAGTCAATTGGAATAACCTTCAGGTACTTCACTGAGACTCTACATTCCCAACTTTGTTCATTTGTTTGAGGTATTGTTGAGCTTCCATGGGCTGATCTGAACTCTGCCACAACATGTCTGTTCTGATCAGAGGATGTGACAACTTACTAGCAATGAGCACCTCCCAGAAAATAGTCTGGCTGTTTCAGTACTTTTAAATATGACAGTGGCTGGGATATTTTGATTCTAATGAGAAAGTGCGGCTAGGAAGTCCCCATTATTAAAAAACAAAACCAAAACCAAAACAAACAAAAAACTACTTCCCAAATGGGTTTACATTCTTTTAGGCTTTTACTAGTGATCATTCAGCAAAGACTTCTCTTTTTAGAAGCCTTTTCATAGTCAGTCTTTCAGAATTGTGTGCAGAATAGGATTCCTTCAGGGAATAAACCAGAATGATGTTTTTTCAGGGCAGGATCTCATGTGTCTCAGGTTGGGCCTAAAGTCACTATGTAGCTAAAAACTATGTATCTTGAACTCCTGATCTTTCTGCCTTTACCTTCTGAATGCTGAGACTGCAGATGTGTGCCACAGCATCTGGTTATATAGTGCTGAGGACTGAACCCAGGGCTAGACAAGCACCATTTATATGGTGCTGCACACTGGACCTGGGGTCAGAGAAGCACTCTACCAACTAAGACCTCCCCAGCCTCCAGAATGACTCTTAAGGAACTGCGTAGGCCTCCAGCTCCACCGAGTGATATGTTTGAATAAAATTCCTCACCTGGTGCCCCATTAATACTGATTTCCTCCTATCCAGCTTTTCTGACTCTGCATTTTGTTACTTGATGTAAGCCTCAGAGAAGCTGAACTGTAATTGGAAGTGTTTTCTGATATGTGAAATAAATGAAGATTTCTTTGTGTCTTCTACTGTTCTAAGAAAAAATTTATTGGTTTTCATTTAGGGGAAGAAGTAGCAATGGCTAAAACACCACATTCATGGTGTTTTGTATTAGCCTGGGTAACTCCTCAGTGAAGTACTCCTCAGTAAGTGCAAGAGAGAAACAAATCACATGAGATTGTCAACATTGTTTTCTTCCTGAAGGATTCTACTTGCAAATGAGGAACATAGGGTTCTGTTTTGTTTTTTAGTCTTTTTGTCACAACAAACTCCAGTAGTCCAATTTTTTTTCTATTTTTTTATTTTTTATTAATTACAGTTTATTCACTTTGTATCCCCCCACAAGCCCCTCCCTCCTCCCCTCCTGATTCCACCCTCCCTCCCTCTTCATGCCCCTCCCCAAGTCCACTGATAGGGGAGGTCCTCCTCTCCTTCCTTCTGATCTTAGTCTATCAGATCACATCAGGAATGGCTGCATTGTCATCTTCTGTGGCCTGGTAAGGCTGCTCTCCCCTTAGGGGGGAGGTGATCAAAGAACAGGCCTATCAGATTATGTCAGAGGCAGTCCCTCTTCCCATTATTATGTAACCCACTTGGACACTACACTGCCATGGACTACATCTGTGCAGGGGTTCTAGTAGTCCAATTTTTTTTCTCATGTACCATCATCCTTATATCTCATACCAGTTGCATGCTTTGGTGGACTTCTCAGCTGGATGCATAGAAGGTAACAAAACAATTGATGTTGTTATAGCCACTGCCTACTGGAAAAAATTATCTCAGCGTTATATAACAAATTATTGTTCCTCACAGACCAGGAAAAAGAGATAAATTCCTAGAAGTGCACACTAGCTGAGGAGCTATTGGCAAATGACTGCTGCCTGGAGAGGGAGAGTCATTTTTTTTTTTCATGGATGCAACCACTGAGATGCTCCAGGAGATGCCTCTATGCCGTGCACATACTGGGAACACTGAGTGAACTCATTGGGTTTTAAGTAAAAAAGAGAGAGAGTTCCTGAATTCGGAAGAGAATAGTGGTGAGGGGGTAGGGGAAAATTTGGAATAGAGGGAATGAGGAATGGGGGTAGGTTTGATAATTTACTTCTAAAATCATTAAAGTTGAATAGAAAATTTTAGAGTATGGACTAGTTGTGGCTACCGTGTTTCAAGAACTTGTAAACAATCTGATATGCAGTCTTCTAACACTGTCCAATTTTATTTTTACCAAAGCTTTGCTTTTAACTCACCTACCTGCTTACTATTATGTTGGAAGAACTCCATCTTCTAAATAGTGAGCTGTTCACTAGAACTATCCAATTTCTTCACATGTCTAGTATAGTTTTACCAACTTAAAAAGATTGGCTTTTTAGTTTGGGGGAAGAACATAGTAATTTGGAGACAGCAGAGGTTTCTTTATATAGCCTCAACTCCTTCATACCATTTTATCATGACAGAGTCTCAGGTTGTCATATAAGATTGATATGTACTTCTAACAATTATTTAGGGAGAATATGAAGGACATTATCAATTCCAAAAGAAAAAAGACTCTTTAGATCCCAAGCAAGAATTTCTTCTGCCCAATGATTATTGTGCCTCAGTTAAAAGCAGGGATGATATTTGGAACAACAATTTGGTGCACAAAAGCATGTGAATCAGCTACTTTGGGAGAAACTATGGGAACAGAGAGGCACAGGGTAGAAAAATACCTCAATGCCAAATCAGGCAAAAATTTCCACCATGTGTCTTCCCAGCAATGGTGATTTAATATCATAGGAATGAAGAGAGTTTAGGGTCAGGGGTGTGGAGTAATTCCTAACCTGAATAACCTGCTACCCTCATTCAGAGAAGTGAGAGTTGTGATTGATACGTTATGGAAATGAACACGAAGATGCTCCTCTGTGGTAGTCTTTCTGTTGCATATCTATCTTCCAGATACACAGAGAGGAAGTGTAGAATATGAGAGGGTGGGCAGGGGGAAATGTCCACTTCCATTTGCAAACACATCTGTATGCACTCTCTTGTTGCCTTATGAAGTTCTATTTTTAGGACTGGGGCTTGCGCTCAGTGCCTCACACCTGCTAGACACACAGTATGCCGCTAAGCTATATAATCAGTTCCTTTTTAATTTTTTTTTTTTTGAAATAGGGTCTTAGTAAGTTGCTCAGGCTGGTCTTGAACTCACTGTGTATTGTACATATACTTTGAATGTGCATTCCTCATGTCTCAGACTCCCCGTAGTAGGGTTAACAGACCTGTACTACCAGGCCCAACTATATTCTCTGAAATCTTAAAGCAGCACAAGGTATGGTATATGGACAAGTCCTGCTGAATGAAAGAGGACACAATGATTAGGCCAGCAAAGGGTTTCTGGGAAAGGAAGACAGAACCATGAGTTTTGGGAAAAGGAACTACTGAAGCAAGAATTTCTTTCTAGTTGTCAACATGCTCTCAACAACTATTCTCATACTACTGGTAATATTGGTAGGCTAAGCATAGGCAAGTCAGAATAGAGGAAGGTATAGTAAATAAATTTAATGTAATATAAGTACATTATATTTTATTTTTATTATACTATATGTTCAGTTCTGACGACTATCTCAATATGGTAAGGTATTTGCTATTATACCAAGCCTACTTTACAAGTATAGTTTATTATTTCACTTGCTCCACAAGTATTTTAAATACTATGGACACAGAACTGTGAATAATGTGAAAAATGAAAATAATAGCTTATATTTATAAACACACTATGTATAGTATAGTACCAAGTGCTTTAATTAGAGAGATGGCCTCACTTGGCTCCCTGGATGGCCTGGAATTCACTATGTACTTGGGTAAGCACCACTTAACTAGGCCCAAAAGATTTATATGTAATTTTATATTCTGTTTGTATTTATATGTTCAGTCCTCACAACTATCTCAGGACTGTAAAGTATTTGCTATTATACCAAGCCTACATCACAAGGAGAATTTAAGGCACAGCAAGGCGAAATGATACCTTCAAGGTTGAAGCCAGTATCAAAGCCAGGGTTCAATCAGTATCTAGGCCTGTATGTCTGAAGTATCTGTGAAATTACCTTTGTAGTTTCATGATTCTTTTTGAAGATATATCTAGGTCCATGCCAAGCATTCTTTTCTACAAAGACGTCTTATCAGAAGACAACACCCAATTCCATCTACAAAGAGCCTGAGATGAAAACAGAATGTGTGTTCACTGGCACCTGCAGGTTGGGACAAAAGTGTGGGAGGATGGCTGGTAAAGAAGCTCAGTCTCCTTCTAGTTTCAAAACTTTGTCTCAGTTATGGGGTTTACTTGTTTGTTTTGATTTGACTTTGAGATGGGATCTTGCTCTGAGCTTAAGCCGACCTCTATCTCACTATGTAGCCTAAGCTAGTCTTGAACTCCCAATCATACTGCCACTGATGGATTATTAGCATCATGATAATAGGGAAGGCTATGCAGATGTCTGAACAGAGAGTACACTGAAACTCTCTTTATGTTTGTTTTGTGTATGTGTGTGCACAAGTGTCATAGTGTACTTGTAGAGGTCAGGGGACAACTTTTGGGACTTAGTTCTTTCCTTCTTCCATGAGTTTCAGATGTAAAACTTGGGTCATGAAGCTTGTGTAACAAATGTTTTATCTGTCGAGCCATTTTGCTGGCCCAATACTAGATCTCTGTGTCCTGTCATCTCAGTTTTGCTGTGAACCTAAAACTGCTAAAAAATAAAGTCCTTTAAAAAACTCAGACCACAATGTTGATAGTAACAGCCAGCTGTGGTAGTATGACAACTGAACTGACACAATAGCCTAAAATGATCACTTCAAATGAGTCTTGAGAAAACTAATTCTATATATTAACTATATGCTAAATAATCCTAAAAGGTGC